ACCGATTGAACGAAAAAATGTATCACCATCAATGTATATATACAATAAACAGGTATTCACGCCAATCGTAAACTAAATTAAATCCATTGCAAAAGAAAGAGAGAGAGAGAGAAAGAAGTAAACATGCTAGCCGCCCAACTGGAGGGGACACCTCAGTTTTATTCAGACGTAAAACCCTTTTAGGAGTCAGGATTCTAAATTCAATGGGCGAGCGGTGTTCGCCAAAACAAACAAATTAAATGCTCGTCTTTATACAACCTCAATTTACTCTGCCAAGGTATGCCAATATTGTTACACGTTGTTGATGAGAAATTTTGTCAGTGAGTACGACTTTTAGCTTAGAAACTTCAACGTGCACGCTGTACGATAGTGACGGGCAATCGCACGCCGATACGATGTTTCTTCAGATTGAAACGGTTAGGGGTGGGAATGAAAGACGTTTGCTACCTTTCGCTTCTATTAGAATAGTTTGCTTGACATATGCAAAAAGACTGTATATGCAAGTGCGAGCATAGCACGAGTCTAAAAGTTCTTCAATTCTATGTTTGGACGCAGTCTCAGCAAGAGCACTGCTTTTAAAGAGCATAGCCAAGGAACCGAAAGTTTAAAAAGACGGTGGATTGGCCATTATTGTTTCGCAAACGATGAACCAGTAAGTAAACCTTTCACGCACAACGGCCATACCAAAGGGTGGCCGTACTCTTTTACTTGTGTACGCAGTTGTTAACAGCTTGTTAGGAAGTTCTGAAGAGCGTCACTAGAAAAACCCTTTAATGTAGCCCTCTCCGGCTTGGCCACCCCTCCCTTATTCTTATTTTTTTTTTAAAGGGGGACATTTTTTGCAATTTTAGGCAGGCGTGCAAAACAAAAGTGGAAGGCCTGCCTGCCGGCCTTTTACGGCAAATTTGAGAAGGGTTCATATTAAATGAATGTAACGACGCTGGTAAACCTCCGTTACACTCCGCAATTAGTAAATTACTGTGGGCCTACTTTCCCGCCACTTCTACGATTTCCTTGTTCGCGCGACGTTAAAAAAATTACAAAAAAAAGTTTTATTTGAGGATGAAGATTGAGTTGCCGATGGACAAGTGAACCTCCCTATCCTCCATGGTTGTGCAGACTATGTTTAGGGACGGAATAGAACGCAGTGGTCGACCCACGCGCGCCATGCGAGGATGCGGATGTGCAGTAATTATTATTATTGTGCAGGAAACACGTCGAACGAACGTCTTAGAAGTAAAACCGGACCTCTGTTGATTACCCCCGTGCTCCGCATATCGTAGCTTCTCACTCTGTTAACGGGCAGCCCAAGTTGCACAGTTTTTCGGTAGCAGACGCATTTCTGAAAACGGACGTGGTAAGTGGTATTATTAGGGAGTGTTGAAATGCTGCTTTTACCCCCTTGTCTACGTTCTCCGCAACAAAGACGCCCCTGCCGCGCATGCGCGCCGCTACTTTTGTCTTGAGTGCGGAAACGACCTAAGGAAACTTTGTAATGAGACTGGTGGCGTTAATCAGGAAGAACGCTTGTTGGCCCAGAACGAGCGGGAGCGGCTCCAAGTTCGAGCAATGCAACGAAATTGTCTCTTCCACCTGGAAATTGCGGCTATGATGTCATTATCTTGCAAACTTCACGAGAACTTCCAAACCATTTTTTGGTTGCTACGCAACTTTCAAACACTATTTTCATTGTTCCTAAGAATACAGATAACTGCAGTTATTAGTCTCTTGAAGTGTTGTGGTGTTACCAAAAAAAAAAGTAACTGAATTCATGACCATCGCTTGCAAATAAAAATAACGCGTTGCCGACCTACGTTACATCAAAATAAATAGAACGCGTGGAAGTAACGCAAGTTAATCTTGTGTTACTTTTGAATGTATGAAGTCGTTTTACTATTTTGACGTTATAGGCAGCACAGGCATTGGAACTTTTCTAACGTGGGAGCGCTTCCGTGGGGAACAGAGAGGCAACATTTTGGATGAGTGCAGGATTTAATATCGCTTGGTGCCTGGAAGTGCACAAAAAATGAAGCGTATTTCTTGGTCCCAACAATATGATGCAACGAGTTACGAAACTATGTTACCCGTTACTAAGAATAGGTAAAGTAAGTACGTTACGCTTTACTGTCTTAGAATAATAAGGAGTACCTTACTACGCTACAGAAATAAGTGATGCGTTACCGCTAACGCCGTTAGTGTAACGCTGTAACACAAACACTGGATTCTGACTGGATTAACTCCCGGATTATATTGCAGCCTTACAGGACAATAACAATTTTCGAAATGCACTCGCGGCCTGTTTGATATGTATGAACCTCACCACTTTTTTATTTTTTTCCCGAATTTTTGTGAACATGTATTTTCAAGTTTTGCCCACTCTCCCATTGTTTAAAGCCCTTGTGGGCGATTTAAGAAATCAATTATTAAAATAAATAAAACAAATTACTTACTAGTATATGTATGTGAAAGAAACAAAGCCGAACGAAACGTCAGCCATAGATGCTGATGTGGAGATGGATGCATCGGAACAGCGTCAGCTGTAAACGCTGGATTGTCACCGCATCACTCAGGATCAGGGGTCCCAAACCCCGTCCTGCGGGCCAGAATCGGCCCGTAGAGGTGTTCCGGCCGGCCCTGGGATATGGCCGTTGTCTTTCTGGTGAAGGCCGGCCCACGGCCCGCTTCTATCAACGCAAAAAATAAGTGCTCGTAAAAACGTTGGCGCCCAGCCTGGCACCGTAGGCGGTAACGAAGGTATCAGAAAGAATTGGAGAAAAAGTGAGCGAATATTCGAATTTTCGAGTACTAGTGTTTCGAATAATAGGCTCTTCGACTTTCGCTTCGAGATGAACTGCGATATTCGTATTTTTCGAAGTCTTTCCCGGTTCGGGCTACACCCGTTGAGCGTGTTTCTTACCGAGCACCGGTGCTCTGTGGAGAAGCAACACCCGCGGAGCTCGCTTTCGCGGTTGGTGCTTTTCCGCAGTGCACCGGTGCTCGGTAAGAAACGCGCTCAACGGGGCTATCGCGCCGAAATCGATTCTTCGAAAGGTACGAATATTGCAGTAACATTCTTAAGAAGAAAGTCCACTTTCAAAGAGGGATATTGCATGCCTTCGCGTGGTGTCTGTAAAAAGATACGGAAACTTTGTGAAGGTGCATTTATGCACTATAGTAAAATTTTCAAAATTAAACTGTGCAAAAGTATGAATTAGGTAAATATGTCCTGACAGCCTGCGTTCATCATGCATGGTTGTCTATTTTATTCTCTCAAATTCTAGATTTAATCAAATTTATTTTTATATATCAAAAATATTTTCATTTCTATATGTTTAATTTTGTGTCAAATGCATCGTTTGCTTGCCATTCCCATGCCGGCAATGAAATTTCTGAGTTCAGGACCCATAAATATAGCTAGATTAAAATGAACTTAGCTTATGTATGGTCTAGCAAAAGCTTAGGAAAAACCTTTACGGGTTGAGATCGGTTTTTGTTTAGGCCTGGTGCAGCAGTGAAAAGCTGGAAGAAACTATTCGGTATTCGATTCGAAAATATTCGGCCAAAACCACTATTCGCTTCGAGTTCACCTGGAACTCAACATACACCATTCGCACATACCTAGAAAATTGCATCAAAACGCCGGTGCTTTGGGCATACTATTTATTGCGCATTGTCAAAACAATAATTACTATTCAGTTCCCTGCTTCATCTCTGCGTAACTATGAAAATTTCCCCTTGCGTTTTCGTGTGTATCGTTCATAGTCATCTGAGCTTTGATTTATGTCTGAAGAGTTCTTGGGTTCATAATTATTTTATAATGATACAAATAGTAGACTGCAGGTCTTTAAATAAAGTATATACAGTTATCTGTCCACCTTACATTTCGTTTTGAATTGTCGCTCTTGTTTACTTTTTGTGTCTAAGTGATTATTTAGGCTCTTTTTTGTATTTTCTCATTTATGCTGTCTCAAATATGTTCCGGCCCTCAGCAACAGGTCCCCAATCCGGCCCGCCAGCCAAATTGTTTGGAGAAGCCTGCTCTGGATGAACGGAATACTGCTTGGCAACTGTTCCCCTTGGGCTATGGCTCACGCCACTTAGCTAAACAATATCTTTCAGAATAATTCGTGTGCTCTCAAGTATGGCACGAAGTGTTGCTGAAATAAACTCAGTCGGAGTTACTGTATATATTTGTCTTTCGTTGAAGCGCGAATTCTTTAGCGCTTTTTTCAATTGTCTTGTTACTTTTTACTCACTCGTTATTTTTTTCTTACTTCTCGCTTCCTTACCTTTTTTATAGTTGTACGCTTCACTTGCATTGCTATTTCACTCTTACTACTTACTTGTCTGGTTCGTGTCAAGCTGGGCCTTCGATGATGAGCTAACTCAATTCAGCTTTAAATCCTGATTCGTGTAATGCGATGTTACTTGCAAATTTCGCAGCTCACGTAAGGCACCTCAGCTTTTACGGCACTTTTTTTTTCCGCACTAGCGTTGTCCCAATCCCGAACTCGAGAGTAAACTTACACCACGTGAATCGGGCATTAGACAGTAGTAAAGCCACAGACACACTCCTTATGCACCATAGAAAAGACACGGTGTTTACTGCAGACATGGCGACGTCTGCGGACACGGCTCAAGCATCTTAGAATCATGTTTGCTGCGTGCATGCTTCGAACATTTCTGCAGACAGTTTTGGAATGACCACTCTGACAGGACAAGGAAGAAACATGCCTCAGACAGTGTCTGCCTTTTGTATGCTGATTGCAACCAGTGTGACAGTGGCTTTATGCTTTCTTTCGATGAAACAGCCCACCGTATCTGCGAAGAAGCGGCGACGGGATAGAGGAGGCAATTGTTCTATAGGAACGATGCACGCGAGATAACTGCTAACGCTAGACCAGATGTTCCCGGAGCAAAGAAGCTGGTCACGCGACGAACCCGCGAGGCCCGACTAACCTTGACTTCTAAGCACTACCCTCGGCGAGGCCGAACAAAAGATGGTGGCTTTGAACATCGTCGTGTTCGTCTTTGCACTGACGTCTCTTGAAATGGGTGAGTGATATCTTACGAATCCCTCATAATGCCGTTGAAATTGTTGGAAACGATTTCGATGGATCATGGATAGAAATCCGGTTCGTCGCCGCTGAGCATCTGGGAGTCTGTGGACGTGGAGCCAATAACTTCACGGTTGAAACACATCCCTCCCCCGTCCCCACACTATGGTCTCCAACAGCATAACCAAATCAAAGCGTGGGGAGTGGGAAGCATCCCATTACCAGTCCGTAGCCAATGAGACTGCAGCGTTCGCCAATAGAAACGGCGAAGAAAGAATAGCGAAGAAGCGCGAACTTCATAGGTCACGCACTGGGTTCCTTAAGGTGTCCGTGATCAAGGACAACAATCGAAAGTCGGACGAAAATCGGCACATGCAAAAATCGTTCCCTCTTGTTTTTAGAAACAAACCACACGAGGGAATTTGTTTCACTTATATCTGGCGTTGTACACCTTCCTCCAAAACAGGAACGAAAGTTCGTTCCTCATTGATTTTCAACCTTGAAAAGAGTTCCTTTGACAAGTTCCAATAGTATGGAAAAAAAAAAGCGTTTCCGTTACTTCTTTAAGATCGGAACGTGTCGTCGCTTCTTTCAACTTATATTTGCGTATTCTAATAAAATAGTGCGCTGAATCACCCAGAAATAAACTAAAGTGAGTAAGCGAGCAAAAATATTCTTATCCAATTATGTGTCGAGCCGCCACGATAAGATTTGTCCAAGTCCTTGTTTTCGACTATTTCTCGGACACTTCCCCATCCCTTGAAATCGGAGGTTGAAAAAATCAATAATAAAAATAAAGTTTATATGCTAAAGTTCGAATGAAAATACAAATAAATAGAAAAAAAAAGAATAAAGGAATGTCGTTTATTCGGTTCTTTTTGAGTTGGTCACACTAGCAGGTGAATAAAGTTACTTTGTAGTTATGGTCAAGATACCAGCTGTTACAATGATCTACCCCACTGCTCGTTTGAAGGTTCAGCGAGCGACTCCCATCACATATCGAAGCGCACGTATGGCTACGGTGGCAGGCGCGGTGGCTACCGGGGCGGCGGCTTCCGAGGTGGCTCCATGCGCTACGGCGGCTACAGAGGAGGCTACAGGGGTGGCTACGGCGGTGGCTACGGTGGCGGCTACGGCATCGGTCTCGGTGGCGGCTACGGCGGAGGTATCGGAGGTTTCGGCGGCATGAACAGCCTGATGAATGCCCTATACACCAGAGTCCTGATGGGGGGGAACTACGGTGGCGGATATGGCGGAATCCAGTACGTTTATGTTCCTGTCTACTATCCTGTCGTGAACGGAGGCGGCGGCGGCATCGACTACGGAGGCATTGGTGGTGGGGGTGGCATTGACTACGGTGGAGGTGGGGGTGACGTGGACACTGGTGGCGGAGGAGGGGTGGACTTCGGTGGCGGAGGTATCGATGGTGGTGGCGAAGATGGCGGTGTCTTTGAGGGGGGAGTTGGTGGTGACGAAGCCGTCTTGTACGTGCATAGCGACGCCAAGCCTTCTGTTAGGGTTGTTCCTAGTGGTAGGAGACCGACACAGCAGGCGCAGCACCAGCAGCAGCTTCGGAGGGTGAACATCGGTAAAGAAAGAGTGGTGCAGAGATCGACTGAGTTGGGGCTGGGTCGCACGTACGCCCTGACGCCGCCCAGAGGTGCGGCGTTTGAGCGTAGAAAGCAGGGCTAACCCATGGCGTATTCCCTCTTCAAAGTTTCTTCTACACTATTTTTTACTTTCTTGGGTGGGTTGGGAGTGACAGATAAGAGTCGTCCGTGTTGCGGTTAATTTTTGATAGTCAGATTTGGTACACATTTAGTACAGGCGACATATGAAGGGGAACAAAAATTTTTATCTGAGTTGTTGAACTTTAGCGGTTAGGCTGTTTTCGGTATTTTCAGCAGACGAATATACAAGTTTTTTTTTTTTTAATTTAAACAAATTAATTGCAAAACAAGAACGTAAAATATACACTAATGCGGTTTGTGCAGGCAAGTTACAAACCAGGGGCACATCATATGGACGGCTAATTCTCACGATAAGTCGGATAACTAACTAAAATGTATTAATTCATATTTTAATTTCTGAAGATAAATGCATAGCTTAAATTAGAAACCTGCCGCGCATCAGCTATATACACCAAATCAGTCAATTTTTTAACTACTTGAATCACGTGGGAAACGCGGGAGTGCACCAAAGTTACCACTTGCGTAAGGCGAAAAGCTAGTGGTGGGAATACGTGGATGACTAGATTAGCATCCGCGTTTCCTCACTGCTAGCTATGCGCCTGGCTGCACTAGTGGGACCTTTGGTACACTCTCCCGTTTCCCACGTGCTTCAAGGCGTATTAAGATTCATTGATTTAGTGTTTTCCGGTCACGCTCAGCAAACGTTTCTAATTGAAACCCTATATTTATTCTCACAACTAAAATATAATCAAAAGACTGTAGTTAATTATTCGACTTAGTGCAAAGATTAGCAACCTATATAATGTCCCTTTGGCCGTATAGCTCACCTGCACAATCCGCATTAGTGTACATTTCATGGATATTTTGTCATAAATCTGTTCGAATTAAAATCCCACACCGTGTATGCAGGCAACTCTTGTAAGTTAGAAGTATACCTACTTACCCTTACACTTGTTGATGGCACTATTGGGTGGCATTGGGGTGAAAACTTTTTGTTTACGTGCGCTCGCGCGTGGGTTTTCCGTGCGGGTAAAAAATTCACAGGCGCACATTTTACTGGCCACTCTCTGTGCAGGAAGTGCGTTATACATTATTTCATTAGTAGGGCGAGTGGAACCGGGGCCACACTTAGGAAAAGTCAGATTTATTAAACGAAGGTTTAGAATGGGGTAAGTTGTGATGCCCGAAGGGGTATTTATCGTTTCTGCTGTCTGTAAAAATATTTAGCCAGCGCAGTCCGACAGCCAGCTTCGGGCTGTTGCACTGCGCTCCTGGTACAATGCTCGCTGCATTACGAACTGCAGTGTGAAAAAACTCTCGGCCATCAAACCCCGTCCCCTCCCCCTCCTTCTCGCCTCTTTCATGTCTAATAAACAAAAGGTGTCCCGCTACAAATCTGTGCACATCGTCTCGAACAACGCGCCTACTACACGAGAATCCGTGATGAAAAAACACTACAGCCACTCTGGATTCATTAGAGCCGCGGTAACTCTGCTCTCATACTTGTGGGGTACTCATTACAAGTAATCAAAATACTTGTAATCGATTACTTTTTGAGTAATTTTGTAATCATTTGAACAAATTTATTAGGAAGTAATCCCAGGGGTATTGTGATTACTTTTGGAAGTACTAAAATTACTCGAAACCGTTACTCTTTATTTTCTCGCCTTCACAAGGGCACCCCTTTTGCTTCCACATTTTTCATATACAGGAATCCTGGAATCCAAGTCTCGGACAGGAGAATGGTTCATCGAAATTGGTAGATTAATACGTTAAGTAGCTTACAATGCGGTGATTATAATCCAATAATATACAGCACGAAAGACCAGTTTAAAAAGCGGCAGATACGTCTGTCGCTTTCAAAATCGAAAGTGATTGAAAAAGTAAGGTCACTTTTTCAAGTACCGGACAGTGACTTCTCTTCTCAAGTAATGAAGTGATATTTTTTTTTCTTGAACAACGTGTAAACGTCAGCTCCCAATGCTCCATACAAACAACAGGCTGATGGTACCGTATCGGGAGTGTTTATTTCTTGTATGACGGCCTACACGCTTTAGCCGTAACAAACCGTCTTTAGACATGTTTTAAGCGTACGCATGTTTGAAGCAAAATTGCGTCAAACGAGGCGAGTTTACACGAAATTAAATCATGCCTTCAATAAACATTGTATGATGTTGGATGCATGAGCGGTGAGACATTATGTCCATTCAAGAACACCAAGAAACAGGCATGCACACACACGTAGACACACATACAAAAATCACACTCTAAAATAACTTTCTGTAACAAAGATTCCGAACGTGTTCGCCAAACTCCGAGGATGCCTTCAGAAAGAAGTCGTCTTTGGGAACGCTCTTCTAGAGCGCGTGCTATCGCAAAAGAGGTCGGCGACAACAGGCGCATTTCTTGACACAGGCGACGCGATGGGACAACGAGCGCACGATTTGGGTCTTGGGGTACGCCCGCGAGCAACGAACAATCTGCCACCTGCGCCGACCTGGTTCATTTACCGTTCGCTGTGTCCCAGCTTTCTCACCGGCTGCCCTTTAGAACCGACAGGCTCGGTGGATACTCGCACAAAGGCCGATTTCGTGCAGATTCGCCAGGATGATACCTACTCCACACACAGGAATCTTTCGGGCGTTTTTAGCCACTTCTGTCGTCACCTTGGCCGTTGCGACTGCCCGGTACCGGGTGGTACTTGCCGTTTCAGCCAACTCGGGTAAGTGTTTCCTGAAGTTATGATCGCGGGTAGTGTTCTCGGACAAACTGCGCATTATGTGGCTAGCGTGATTTCAATAATGCGAGACGCTGGCTCGCGTACTGCATTACAAACACTTCAATTGGTTTGGTTCACAAAAACTAAGGTCAGGTTCACGGTATTGCTCATTTCAACTACGTCAACAGCAGCAACATGTTCATCAGCGCAACCGTGAGCCACATACGATGTTGTAACCAATGCAAGGAATGCAGTAGCCAAAACTTCCCGTTTCACAATAAACAAGAATAGTTACGCTTAGTGTATCGGAACTCCATTCCCCAATTATTGTGTGGACGCCGCCATTTTGGTGCTTTCCGAAAAACTGGTGCCCCCTTTCGGAGGCTTGGTTCGTGGATTTTTGGGTAGTAAACTCGAGGAAACATAGGGTGCCATTAAAATGGAGGGGAAAGAAGCTTCTTTTTACGAACTTGGGGGAAAAGAAATAAGCCACAAGTGATCTGCTAAGAAATATCAGTCAAGTTCACTGTACCTTAATAAATCTAAAAAAAAAAAATCTAGCTTTGTTGCTCCAAGGAGTGTTTCCCCCAAGTTCGTAAAAAGAAGCTTCTTCCCCCTCCAAAGCAGGATTTCCATGTGCCTGCGACACATGGCAGTCCTACTTTCAACAGTCTGCGAGACGCCGGCATGCATGATAATGCACGGTGGCGGCGCTACAAACAGACCTGATGATTTCTTTTATAAAAAAAACCAAAACCTTGTTAGAAGTATCATTCGCATCGGCTGAAACGACAGCAACAGCATATTGACCATCACAAGCATGAGCCATAAACAATGTAGAGTCCGATTCAAGGAATACAGTACTCCAAAATTTTCGTTTAGAACCACTAAATAAGCAACGCTTAGGGTTTGGCACTGAATTTCCTATTATATTGTGGTCGCAGCCATTTTGGAGGCGCAGGATTGGAAAATGATACCTCCTGGGCTTCACTGGATAACATTGTACTCAGGATAAAAATTAAGTTAAAGTTACATTTACTCTTAGTCAAAAATAATGAACAAAGAAAACTCAACTAAGTTACAGTAATTCATTTACTGAATTACTGCACAAATGTAAGGGATAGAGAGAATGTCCTCTCTAAATAATCAGATCTTAGCCAGCCGTCTCTCTTTTTTTTTTTGCGGGGGAGGGGAGGGGGAGAAGGGGATTGTTTTCTTGACTTCAATATTCGCCGCGTTTCTTTTTGTGAACACGCGCGTCGACGGCATCTGTGCTTCACGGAAAAGATAAAACCGGGATTCTGGTTTATTGACGAATTTTATGGCGTGTTCTTGAACCTACTTTCACGGCTGCGCCTTTGAAACCCTCGGGAACTGTGAATATCTGTTTGGTCTCAATTAACTGCTGCGTTCAAAGCTGCCGCTACAGTTTTCTATTCTAGCCCCAAGGTACCGTTAATTTCGCAAAGTTTGCCAGTAAGCAGCGCGTTGATTATTTTTGAAAATACGGTGACTCTGAGAAGCTATCGCAACTCGAAAAGCGGGACTGTTAAATTGTGTTTTTATTCGCGAAAATCTGCCGGTTTGTGCGGCAACACTCTTTGTGCCCAATACTTGTAAGCATGTGCAACATGCGCTTTAGGTCACCTATGGCATATTCTGAAATTCACAAGCACGCGAACATGCGGAGGGACATCGAGTGGCGAAATGTTGTGCTTGCAATAAAAAAAACTATTTTTTTTGTTAAGGACGTTACAGGTTCATTTTGAGGTGTGTTTAGTAAGGGTATAATTTTTTCCTAACCCGCTTATTGTAATGCAACACTCGTTTAATCTATTTTTTAACGAAACATCGTCTTACATTTTATAACATTCTGTCGTGATATAGGCCTCCAGCGCGCATGCGCAGCCAAATTATGTCAGAGGGCAACAGTGTATGCTGGATTCCGGGTATCTCAAAGAAGCACCCTGCCATTCTTGTTCTCGCAGCGGTTCTAGTATCTGTTACTACGTGTCACTGTTTAAATTTAATCCTGTCACGTCCTGCAGGGGAGTTCAAGGACTTCGTGAGTGCGCCATCACCTCGCCAGCGGCCAGCCCTTTCAAGAGGAAGAGTGACCAGGCAAATCGGACCCTACGACCAGTCATATGGTCAGCCATATGGACAACCATACGTTCAACCATATGGTCGACGACTAGGCTACTATCCTTACTACCCTTACTACTCGTACGCAAACCGTTTCGGAAGCCCGTTTGGAACTCGTTTTGGTGCACAGTTCGGAG